ACTGCACTGGGTATGGGCAGTTAAATGGCCAGGGCGGATGCGTGATGGCTGGATGTGTGACGTGCGGCATTGGCCTAACATCTCGAGCAAAGCAAGTCCTGAAGAGGAGTGAATGGTTATTGAGGACAGATATTGATAAGACTTTACGGATGACAGAATGTGCCCAATGGAGATTGGCGTGAAGCAGTTCGCCCGCAGGGCACTTGGCCTGATCTGGGCTCGTCTGTCAGGCCTCCGTGTGTCACTCGATGTTTTCCGGACGCGATTTGACGTCGAGAACGTTTGCGTGTGCTTATTGAAGACAGTTTCTATTAAAGAGGGGAAGTTACATTCAATTACCGCCCTTAATAACACCTGGTAACACTAATAACCACTGTTCACAGGTGTCGCATATCGCCATACATACCACCACCACACCACCAAAGACAAAAGACAAAGATTCCCCATATAGCCTTAAAAAACTGTTGGGGCAAGTGCTGTTAGCGAGCACCTATGAAGGCCAGGACGGTACACAAGGGGGTGGGTGGCCAGCACCACGCCCGGCCACCTTTGTCTCCCTAGTGACAATCATTACACATCGCACCAGATACTCATTTGAGGCTGAGTCGACATAGGGGAGGCCCAGGACTGACTCAGATGATCGTCACCAGTGTTGGCCATCGGCGGGAATCGAACTCGGGACGGTGGACGACATCGCGGCGCTCGCCCCTCCGCCCCCTTCATGGGTCGCCGCCCCGGCAGGACGCGCGCGGTGCCCCGCTGGAGGCGATGGCGCTGTGGCGCTATGGCATACACAGCACGGGGCGAGTTTTCTTGAATCTCCGCTCCGCCGAGCAGCGTAATTGGGTTCATCGCAGTCAGTCGATCGGCAGGACCCGTGTGGTGGGGTAGAATGTGGGTACCCCCACCTCTTCCAAGATGTCTTGCCAGTGTGGAAGTGTGTGTCAGCCAGCATGCCCTCCTTGCCCTTCCGCTACCAGCGGTGTGAGCAAACACATTCAGGGCTGCACCTTTAATTTTGTATGTAATGTATGTTGAACTTCATTCGCACCGTACGTAGCCAGCTGTGTGCTAGTCGGGGGCTAGAAGGAGCGATGAAGTGGCAGGCAAGGAATGAAATGTCGCGTGTTTAGAGGAGGTGCTGTGTGGAATATTGAGAGGGTGGCGTGTATTATGTGGAAATTCTTTCGCACCGTACGTACCCAACCGCGCTAGTCGGCGGTGCGGTGTGCTATTTTCACACGAGAAGCGAAAAAAAAACTGCTGCCCGGCAAAATCCTCGTTAACGCGCAGCGTCGCGTCGCTAACAAGAGCGGTCTCGGCTGGGCCGCGGTGAGTGACAGCTGGTGACGGGGCACGCTGTCCCGTTCTCTCTCTCTCTCTCCCGCTCTCTTTTTTTACGATCAGAGGAAACAAGAAGATGCTCGGTGTAGTCGGCACTTTGCTTCGTTCATCATTTCGGTTTTTTTTCAATGCAAGATTTCACAAAAGATTTCACGCTCTGCTCTCCTCCTTCTTACCCCTTCCCTCTCTCTCTACCCCCTCTCTCGACCCCCCCTCTCTCTCTCTACCCCCTCTCTCGAGCCCCCCCCCCCCTCTCTCTCTCTACTCCCTCTCTCCCTACTCTATGTCGATGTTCTCCCTGTTTTCTATGTATTATTTGTAAAAAAAATCCGCTCTCTTTCCCGTCCTCTTTCCCGCTCTCTCTCTCTTCACGCTCACCGAGGTCACATAATTCACGTGACGTTTTCAGCATCGTAATCTTGATTCAGGCTGCAGGAATCCGATGGGCTGTGGAGCTCTTTTTTCACAGATGCCCAGTAGGACATGTGTGTAACGGTGCGGGGGAAGCAAAACGCGAAATAAAGTCAAAAGGGTGGTTCCCCTGTAGAGGTGTGAGCGTCAGTGCCATCTGCTGCTGTTTTACTTGGTCCAAATGTCTAAAGGCAACAGCAGCAGCAGCAGCATACCACTCTAAAGTGACCCAGTGAACCTGCACTCAATGAGTTACTGAGTGCATGTGTAATGGTTTCAACTGAGTCGCAGACGTAGACTTTGAAGGCAACACATTTATTCAGTTCCAACACACGGGGTAACTTCCCCTTAGCAGAATAACACCCTAAGGTGGTGACCACCCGGCTAACTACACTTGTTACTTCACTAGTTACCGCGTAACTGCTACTACGGACCCGGGACCAACAACATCTGCCCGGGTCCACGTGCTGGAAGACTTGTTGAACGGAGATCGTAGACGAAGAGTTTCTTTCCCCAGATGAACAACCCTGGTCCCTCTGGGGACTCGGCTTCTATTCTCTGTGGGCGTGGCCGGCTCCGCCCTTGGCCACGCCCACCTTCCAGAACCCTCGGGAAGGATCTGGGTCCCAATCACGTGACCCCCCCTAGCCCCCTCTTGGGGCCCCTCTGTCAACTTAACCGGTCACGTGTCCTCCCGGGTCAACCAGAGTGCCATGGCCTCACGCAACTTTACCCTTCGGTCGGCACCCACACACCCCGTCCTGTAGGGCCGGCACGGCACTTACGGCCTGGTGCCATCCAGCGCTGTTACCCAGCACACACCGTGCCCCTCTAGGGCCGGTACTACATCCACGACATGGTGCCATACAGCGATGTCACTACACATGCAAATGCCACGAACCGCACTCTTGTTGGCAGCCTCAAAATACTGAAAGTTTCCCAGGATAAATAAGCGCCGAATTTTTGGTAACTGTGCCGTGCGGAGCGATTCGGCGTCGGCGCGAGATCTGCGGAGGCAGTGGGTCACGTGCACGCGAGAGGGCGAACGTCGTGGTGGGGAGTGTCGGGGTGGCGAGCTTCGTGGTGGGGTGAATGTCGGGGTGGCGAGCGTTGCGGTGGACCTGGCCGCCACCCAGTCATCCCCCATTGCGTGATGACAAAGCGGTGGCGGCGCCGATTGTTGCAGATGTTCGTGGTTTCGAATCCAACAGGCCGCCCTGGCCGGTTAACACTGCCGATGTATTGTTGTCGTTATTATTAATAGTATTATTATGTCTTGTGGAATGCTTTGATGTCGTCTGCCGACTGAGTCGCCCTTGACAAAGAGCTCCTTGGCTCTACGGGCTTTACTCAGTGGGAAATGAGCTTCCGGCTGATTCTGGACTTCTGACTCTGACGAAGTGTCTCAACACGACGCTGGGACTGCTTCCCTGTGAACGTTAGCCACCCTGCGGCGTAATTCCAAGAAGAAGGTTGGCCATTGCTGAGCCGGCGTTACTCTCCACATTTTTCCAGACTTAAAATTACCCCTTAAATTACTTTTATGAGGTGATGCATAGCTGCAATCTTGCCCCCCCCCCCAGCAGGAAAAACATTTGGCAGGACCCCACCTGAAAAATAAGTTTGATGCAGAGAGTGGGCAAAGGTAACCATTGTTATCCGTGCAAACAACACCTGTGCCCATGCAGTGCTTTATTTGTCACGGTGGCTCAATGTTAACTACCTCGCTAGGTATACAGGAGGTTATGGGTTCGATCCCGATCCTGACGCCTGTATATGTGGAGTTTGCGGTGTCTCTCTCCTCGTCTCCCCGTGGTCATGTGGATTTTTCTCCAGGTCCTCCGGTTTTTCCCCTCGACATTTAAAATCAACGCGCGTTTAGAGTATTTGGTTGTTTTAAATTGCCACACGATAAGCCACTTCGTTGAGCTATCATTTGTGGCCAGGTGGCTTCTGAAAAAGAGCTGCATAGCTCAGTGGGCCTTACCTGGTAAAATAGCATAAGTTTGGTTTAATTTACATCCTTTCAGTGCATGTTTTATGTAAATGGTAAAGGCGCAGCACTGCAAGTGCCTGTTCACACCGCAGCTTATGGAAGGGTCTCCACGAGGGGGAGTTCTAGAGAGCCCCTCTCGAGGGTATTTGGCCTACTCTTCGAAGTTGGCCAGACTACTTGGAGGACGTGGGAGTACCCACCCTTTACCCCACGACATGCGACCTGCCAAACGACTACCTTGTGGTGACAGAGGCGGGGAGATTTATGAGATTTATTTCAACTGCCACGCCGGACGATCAAACCAAAACAGTGAGCTTCTAAGCACAAGGACAGGGGACTAACCGTGACACCAAAGCAGCTTCCCAAGATGTTGATAAATATTTTTAAAATGCACATATTTAAAACGTTCTTCTTCAGCCCTTCTGTCTATTAACCTGCGAGTGTGCGTACTCTAATCCGTGTGTTCCCCTTCCGGTCTCTCGATGGAATTCCGAGTGTGCAGCCTTCCGCTTAGCTCTGGTTAAATCACTCCACGTGTGATGCGAGAGTGTCGCCCAGCACGTGTGCCACCGCCTCGTTCATAGCGCTGCCGCGCTACGGACTCGGCGACCTGAGTTCAATTTGCGCTCGCGGCCAACGTCAGTGACGATTATCTGAACCGGTTCCTGGGCCTCCCCTAGCATCGATTCGGCCTCAAATGAGGACCTGGTGCAGTGTGTAAACAGAGGCGGCTGGGCGTGGTGCTATCCTGGCATGCCATACCGGCCTTCATATGTTCTTGCTAACAGCACTTGCCCCAACAGTCTGTTAAGGCTAGACAGGGGATCTTTGTCGCTGCTTGCTAAACACGTAAGTCACTACTGTGTGCATGGCAGCATTACGCTTGTACACCCAGGAAGCCTCATCGAGTCTCAATACACTTATTCAGGAGGGTCCTGCCAGGTTCTTGCACTAGGGAGCAATGTTACAGTCTAATCCCAATTTTGTACTTTCCAGGTAATTTGGCAGCATTTGGATGTCTGGCCAATACCATTTGTTTTTGTTAGCTAAGGGAGTAGATTCGAGAACCCGCAGGAAACCCGTGCAGAGCAGGGGGGTAGAGAACACGCAAACTCCACGCAGCAAGGGGCACCGAGTCGGGAGTCGAACCTGGTCACCTCTCGGTGCGAGAGGGCAACGACGAGCCTCCGCCGCCCTCCCCCCGCTGACGGCGAACGCGTGGCTGGCGTCATGTCGTCGGGTGGCGCAGGGAGGAGCGGCGACGTGGGGAGGGGACGCCAGGTGGTGGCGCGCGCAGGTGACACAGTGATCCTGGGCTGTGACGTGAGCCACGGCGGACTGGGGAGGCCTCCTCCATACGTCATCGAGTGGTACAAGAACGAGATCCCCTTCCCGCTGCTCATCCAGTTCGGGTCGTACCCCCCGCGCATCGACCCCGCGTACGCAGGTACCGCCACCTCGACCACTTGCACGCTCGCACGCACAACATTCGCCCCCCCCCCCCCTCTCTGCCCCGCTCCGGCTTCTGATGAACGGTTTTGTAAACTTTTGAAATTGTGCCGCGATCAGTCGAAAGATAATCCACCTGAGCAGACTCGCGCGATGGGTGGAATTTATTGTTCAACGTCGATTTGTGTTTGCGCGACATTTCCGATGTCTCGCATGACGCGGTTGTTTGTGCCCTGATTTCTCTTCGATTCGTTGCCGTACTTGAATTTTTCTACTTTTATGTTTTGGTTTCGTCATTTTGATGGGCCAGGAAGACTCTTGCAAATGAGACCTCTCATCGTGGCCTCTTGAGGGAGCTCTCACCTGGTCACACAGAATCTAGTCGGTCGCGTTCCTCGCCATCGCTTGAAGTCGATCCAAGCACTTTTGGACGCATGCGCGTAACCCTCGACGATGCGAGTTCAACCCCCGATGAAGCTCGGAGATCTGAATGCAGGTGCAAAAGAACTCGCAGACAAACACCGCCTTGTTGTGAAAGACCCAACGCAGAAGTTCCCTGGGTTTGATCTTCCAAGAAGCTCATGGTCCACCCTAAACCGCATCCATTGCACAAACCATGGCAGTAGATGTAGATACCTGATGGACAGATGGAAAATGGAAAACTCTCCAGTAGCAGTGCGCGACTGTGGTGGTCATCAAGAACAGACCTTACAGCGTCTAATGACGCAACGACAAATCCACAAATATAAAAGAGACATCACAGCGATACACTCCGGTACTCCTGGCGCGGTTGTCTGGCTTGACCACCTGAATGTGAGATTGTAGTTGTTGCTCGACATCTACACCAGCAGCCGTACGACAAGAAGACAAAGTCAGAATCAACTTCAAACGTGACCCCCCCCCCCGCCCCCCTTTACGGATGGCAGAGACGCTCTGGGCGAGGATTCTGTGCCACTGCGCTCGGCATCACGGCCGTGGTGCACATCTCTCCGGCGTGCATCTCGATCGTACCGTGTATCGTTAAGCGTGATGTCCGACGTTTCACTCGATGAGCTGGGAGCTTCTTCAGCAACTCATTTAAGAAGCGACACTCTCTCTCCCCCACCACCCCCTGGCCCCTTCTGTTCCTTTACTTCTGTTCCTCTTCCCTCTATCAAATAATAGAAGTAAAAAAAGGCTCCAATCTCTTCCTACCTGGAATACTCGATGTATATATAGCTGAGAAAGCAAGCAGAGCCACAGTGGAGATGGAGCGATGAAATCAGGCCACGTCCCGGAGAGATGATTGATTGTCGCACCACATGCCCATGGGAGATGGTGACGATCTTGGGGGGGGGGGGTTCCTTTAATCCAGCAGTCGATTGATCATGGCCGACGACGATCACATACCGTGTGCGTGCTGCACTCACGTAGCGTGGCTTAGACGCTGCAATTCTGCCTCGGTGTACTCCAAGTGTCGTTTCTGCGAATCGGGATGCACGCGGCATTTGTCATTCGCTGCTCAAGAGAGCTGCATTGTGGGGAAAATTCCAACATTGTTTCTCTGGCCCCTCCATCCTCCCACCCACGCGTCACACCTCCTCGGCCAAATCACATCCTGAGTGCCTTCCCCATGGCAATCGATGCTGAACTTGGCGGGGTTGGCCACTCCTCCGCACGCATTCTGTCGGTGGGGTCCAACTCCGCGACCTGTGCGGTCACGCGGCAACGTTACTCCCGCCTCAAAACCCCCGCGCCCCTCTCCGTTATCTCCACGACGTGCACGCCGCCGCTCGTGAAGAAGGAAGGGAGGAGCGTCTCCTCGCCGGCGCACTGCCGGGGGCTCGCCCGCTTCCGCGAGGACTCGGTGGCACCGTGACAACGCGAGACGCCCACCCGACATCTGTGGGCATAGCAGCCGGTGTTACGTGACCCATGTGAAAGCCGCCCCGGCTAAACCAACGTCTCGTCTCTCTCTCCCCCAGTCCCGTGGCAGCTGTTCCCTCCTACGCGCACAGGCTCTGATTTACTCACAAAGCTGTCGATGTCTTCTTCAACATTTTGGCAGCGATGCCACGCAGCCACCCGTCGTGGGTGATGTGGCATCCCTGTTCCCACCCCCTCTGTAGCTTCGTCTTCTCGAAAATGTTGTCAGGGTTCGCTGAGATATTTATTTTCCCACGTCTCAGCGGTTCAGTAGAATTCTTAAGTTATTCCGTAGCTATTAGCATGCCTAAATTGTCTTCAAAGAGCCGCCCAAATTGTCTCCATCCGATGGACGTTCTGCAGCTGCCAAGTCTTAATGGGTTCAACTCGATTTCCTCAATCTGCCCTTATCACTAATTCCATTGACTCTTGAGGAATATTTTGGTTCCTGTTCTTGTAAAGGCGTCCCTCTACCCGCTGCTGTCGGGAAGCTGCCGTGGTTGTGATGGCGAGCAACGTTGGATGCAAGCCAGATGTCTCCGGTTCAAGCAACGGGGCAAGTTTATTAAAACCTCACTCCTCCGCCTCTTATCCACCCCAGCAGTCGACAGCCAATCGGTTCACCGCAAATTTGTCGATCGGCAGGTCACGTGGTGGTGGGGTAAAGTAACTTCCGCTTCTTCCGAGATGTCTGACCGGCGTGGAAGAGTAGGCCAAATACCCTCTGGAGAGAGGCTCTCTAGAGCTCCCTCTCGTGGAGGCCCTTCTGCCAGCAGTGGCGCAAGCAGGCAATTCCAGGGCTGCCCCTTGACCTTTTCACCTTCACCTACTTCTGCTAACGTGCATTGTACGTGCATCGTAAATAGTTCCGTTCTCGCTGAAATAATGAAATTCTACCTTCGTAAATATATTTATAAATGTGCACGCAACTCTTATAACCGAGGTTATCACGAGTGAATCGATCCACATTTAATACGGGTTGACCCCACACGAGATTATCGTGATTTTCTGAATGCGTGTGGATGTCCGTTAGCCAGAGTTGACTGAAGGGGCTTATACTGTAAGCCACGCGTGTTTTTGAACATCCTGGCGTCTGGTTTCCGAGGCGCGTGCCATCACCGATCAACTGGAGCTGCAGCCGACGCAAGCCCCGCGGTGCTGCGTGATGGCCATCTCCCCCAGCCCGACCACTCGGAGCTGTGTTGAGCAGCGAGAAGCCCTCGCTGCTTCCCCTTCTTGGTGGGGGGGGTGGGGGGGACACCCGTGAGGAGCGGAGGTTGTGTCGGTGACGCCTCCGTGGGGGGAGGGGACGCGAAGACCACTGTGGAGTTTTACTTGGAGCTCCGAGTGGGAGAGGATTCCTGGATGTTGTGCACGTGGAGGCTGATGCTTACATGGATTACCATCGGACCTCGCTTTTGATCTCTCGGGCTTAGCTTTATAAGCGGATTTCAACGCCGCTCCGTTCCGAACAAGAACGCTCGACATTTGTGATGAAACACGTCGCCGGTCCTGCGGCTCTTCCTCCGAGGAGAGCGCACAAGTCCGTGCGAGCGAGGGGAGCTCAATCCGAGACAATTCTCGTGACACAGTCGGCACCTTCAGTAATCTCCCATCGCGCAATGCGCCCTACGCTCGGCTCTGCTGTCTCGCTCCGGTGCCGTATGAAACCGACAAGTTGATTTCGCTGTATGAGCAAGGGCCGGGGTCAATGGGACTCGTTTGAAACCAAAGGAAACACTTCAATCGTCTGGAGCGGCACTCTCACGCACGACCAGAGTCACTCGGGCACAGAGACTAACGCAGTGTCATGATACAAGCTGTAAACGTCAACTCCCACAGCTTCTCGCACCTGCTGTCAAGCTTAGCACCGCTAACGTCGCACTGCAGGGCCCCGCGGCCGTGGTGCGTGGCGGTGGTGGCGGTGGTGCCGATGCCGCACCCGGCCGATGATCCAGCACTGTGGGGGCGGCGACGGTTGGTGGATCGCACACGGATGGTTGTGAGAACTCCCTTCACGTGGGCGTCAAGAAGGATCCATACCCCGGGTTGCCAGGAGAATGCAGTTTAGCAGAGTGCGGACGAATGTCATCTGCCCCTTCTGTTGGGTAAGGGATAGAGCGTTGCCCCCTCGTACGCGTGGGTTTTCTCCGGGTGCTCCGGTTTCCACCCACTTGTATAATAATAATAAGCACTCATTAATTAACGCAACTTAATATATGGAGGACCGCAGAACTTGGGCAATCGCTGGCAGCACCGACTCACCGCCTGGCTGCCACCGTCTGGCTTATCTGTGGTTCCTCGGCGACAGCAAAGAGATGCAACTTGCAAGACTGATGGCGCTACGTGAAACAGAAAATCTTAATAATAACAATAGAAACAACCGAAATTGGTGAAGATTTTGGCGCTTTATGTATTTCTTCTTCCATGTGTCTCAACCAGGGCAGCCGTGGGAGATGAGCGAGGCAGCAATTGAGCCCGACCCATTTGCTGGGTCGGGTCCGAGCATCTCCCCCCCCCCCCCGTCTCGAGCTCCTCTCCACCCACGCCACCGCTGCTGCTGTGGGGGAACCTCCCAGGAACTGACCACCGTAGACGCCTGGCCGTGGGGCACTGGAGTAGCGGGGGGGGGGGGGGCGAAAGCTCGGCAGGAGAAATGTTCACACCATCCCTCCATCCCTCCCTTCATCCCTCCCTCCATCCCTCCCTCCATCCCCTCCTCTCCCTCCACCCACCGACTGCCCCCCTCAGCATCGACGCTCGGGTGTTGGCGGCACTGCGTTCCGCGTCCAAGCGGCGGCGCGGCGGCGTGCCGAGCCAACTGACTGTCACACGCGGGGGGTGGGGGGAGTTTCTAAGATTGTCGGTGTCTGTGCGTTCGGTGTCGGCGGGGGCAGATCTCCACGCTTCCCAGGACAATGGGGGGTGGGGGGAGAGGTGCGGTCCCGAAAATGTCACGCTTTTTAACGGTGCCCTACATTTAAAGCAATAGCATCCAATAATATTCATTCTTCTCTGGTCAACACTAATCATACAATCCATGTCCTGGGTCTCAAGGGGAGAAGAATGCGATTGTCCCCCACCGTCGCCCCCCCCCCCCCTCGCCCGCCCCCCCGTCACGTCAGGCGTGTGGATCGCCCACGCAGCCCGCATGCCGTGTGACCCACGTGCAGCACACATCCAGATAGAACACTTTGACGTCTGGCAAAGCTGCAGCCCTGCAAATGCCAGCTGACGCCCCTCCAAGCGGAATGACCTCCAACTCGAGGCAGCTCTCGACAGCCACTCGAGTGAGTATTTGGTCTATTCCTCCTCACGCTAGGCAGATGTCTTGGAGGAGGTTGAAGTGCCCACATTTTACCCCACTGCACACGACCTGCGAATCATAGATTAACTCTGGTGTCAGTCCATCAGCCTTCAGCTTCTGAAGTCTGATGGAATCGGGCGCATTCCGGCTGATTTACTCATTGGCCTAGATTTAACCACCACCACCACGATCGTCATCCATCAAGGCCAATCCACTGGCAAACCCAAGGCTTCCCCATAATAATCTACCTGGACCTTGTGTGCCAACTGATTTCATTGCTCCATCTCTTCAGTGGACGTCCTTGCGGTACGAGTTACATTCGTCTGGTTCACTCCCCACAAACGGTTCAGGCTGTGACACCGGGCATGTGAAAACGTCATGACGACTTATCTCACTCTTCTTGTTGTGTGGTGTCGGTCCCCGTGCACAACCACGGCCCAAACAAATTCACGATGTCATTTCAAATGCGTGCACAACGTATGGGAGTGGGAATGCGAGAGAGCCGGAGATGTGAGCGTGAACGGTCTGAAGTCGCGATGATTTGTAATGATGCGGCGAATGCCTCAGCGAAGGGGGCGGGGGGATTGAATCACGACTTCTCGTCACAGAAGCTTCTGGAATTACGGCCGCCGCCCTCCTCGGGAAAGTTTTCATCCTCTCGTTCACACAACACAACACTTGGATTTATTATTCATGAAGCCGGAGCCTCTTATATAAGTGATATTTATCAGCAGGGTACTTTGGCTGACAAACGGAGCCGGTTCTAAAGTGAGGTGGGAAGGGCGGCGCGAGTTTGATTTAGAAAAAACATCCCAGGCAGCAGCTAATTTTAAAGTGGGCCGCCATGGTGGCTAGGAGATGTTAACTACCTCGCCGGGCATACAGGAGCTCGTCGGTTCGATGCTGACCCTGACGCCTGCTATGTATTTGGAGTTTGCATGTCTCTCACCCCGTGGTCATGTGGATTTTTCTCCGAGTCCTTTGGTTTTTCCTACAAATTTAAATCATGCATTAAGAGTATTTGGCTGCTATAAATTTCCACATGATAAGCTACTTCGTTGGGCTATCATTTGTGATAGCCAGGTCATTTCTGAAAAAGAGCTACATAGCTCAGTGGTAAAATAGTTTACAGTTTAAATTTCGAGGCAGTATTTTCTGCAGCTGCCACATTGGCCGATGCGGCGCCACGCGTGCTCGTGCCAGAGTTGCGTCAATCATACAGAGGATTCACATGATGCGGTGTGTGAGTTACATTCCTGTGTAAAATATCACAAAAAAAAGATTTGGCCAGTGTGGAAGAGTAGGCCAAATACCCCCACGTGGGGCCCTCTAAAGCGCCTTCTAGTTAAGGCCCTTCGCGTGCGTGAGCAAGGAACTGCAGGGCTGCACATTTACCTCTTATTTTATGTTTTAATAACTATTTTTATTTTACCAGGTAAGGTCCACTGAGCTATATAGCTCTTTATCAGAAGCGACCTGGCCACAAACGATAGCTCAACGAAGTGACTTATAATGTGGATATTTATATCAGCCAAATACTCTAAATGCATGATTACAATTTTTGAGGGAAAAACTGGAGGACCCGGAAAAAAATTCACGCGACCACGGGAAGAACAAGCAAACTCCAAATATACAGGCATCAGGATTAGGATTGAACCCATTAACTCCTGTACACCAGGCGAAGTAGTTAACATCTTGCTACCCTGGCACCCTATTTATTATCAGCATGGAGCTGACCAGCCTCCGAGTACAAGGGAAGAAGCACAGAGAGAAGTCTTGTGACTGGCAGTTTGTTGAGCGAGTGAGTGGCCGGGAGAGTAGGTGGGTGAGTTGTTGTGACCCACAGTATGGCAGTGCGGATTGCATGACACGGTAAGTCTCGTAGACTGAGTCCTCAACACGGGTGTAGGAATCGATGGGCGAAGTTCACGGTGGTAGCAACGATAGAGGAGCAATAAGGAGGAGCTGGCGTCCGACCGTGGATGATGGAGCGAGTGGCCGTGTTGCGCGTGTGCAGGGAGGGTGAGCCTCTACGAGATGGGCTCTCTGCGCATGGAGACGGTGCAAGCCGAGGACTCGGGCTGGTACGAGTGTAATGTGCTCTTCCTGGACAAGCAGTACGACCCCTTCGCCAACGGAACTCGCACCTACCTGGCCGTGCGTGGTACGCTCCGGTATCCCCCCACCCCCGCTCCTCCTCTTGGGCCAGGTCTGACGGGCGTGGTGGGGATGCAGCCGTCTCGGCGCAGGGTGGTGGCTCGGTAGGCCACGCGCTTTGGGAATGTGAGACTTTATTTTGGAGTGGAGGAAGCTGACGAGCCTACGAAGCTCTCAGGTGCAGATGTCCAGTAGGGGCGGCGGTGGTTACAATAAACAACAAATGGTACAGAAGACGATAGGAGTGCAAAGTATAGAATCGGTAAGTCACGAAAAATAAAGAAAGTATATAAGTGTAAATTGAAGGAAGTACATACATTATCTTTGGGACTGGTGTAGGCCAATCCGTATTATATTATCATAGCATGTTTGTTTGCATGTTTTGCCACAAGTTCGTGTGGTTCATGTAGACTTGATTCCTTGCGAAAGGTTTCTATTTGGTGTTTGAACATCTTAACACATCTATAGTATAGGTTTTTTGGATTAGATCACGTAAATATAAATGTGTCGTTAAACCCACCACCACCCAACACAGCCAATTAGTAAGGTTTGTCACGTAAACAGAACATGCCAATTCATTATTAGTACAGTACACCGGTATGTTGGAGAGCAAATCCTGTTTTATCTCCAGCAAGGGTAAAACCTATTCTTATTTTTCACAATTACTTACATTTCTGCGATGTTTTAACACTACATTATATGCAAGCTTGGGCAAGGCAACAAAAACAGTCCCAGACCACGCCGAGACAAACAGGCGCCCTACGTTAGGTCAACAGTGGTTGTCTTATGGGCCCGACTCGGCCCCGTCATAGGAATGTCGAATTGCCAACACTGGCCTATAACTGTGAAATGGGAGATGAGCACGGCCTCCATGCTCAGTGAATAATTTCAGCAGCGAATCACATTCGCTGTCGACTGCGGTGTTGTGCAGGTATCACGCCACGTTGGGGAGTCATGAAACCATTAGTACGTTTTGGTATTTGCGCAACTATTATGTTCTAGCACAAGGCGATCACAAAGGATGCTGCGATGTTTCGCAGACACCTGTCCACACGTGCTCTCACATGGTAGAGTGTGTGACGTTGCTGAGTGGCTTTGACCCAATTCACTCTCAACTCAACACGCTCATTCGGTGACACTGCCTGAAAAGGGGAACGTACGGAATCGGCAACGTTTCGGGAAACGGCCCTTCTATAAAAAGCACACAATGTCACAAATTACCCAACGAGGTTAAAAATTACCCGTCTAGGTAATTTGTGTAATTTGTGAAATTACGCATCTAGGTAAATGGTGTATGAATTTGCTAATTTTGTGTGCCCACTTGATAAAGGTAATGGTGGGTTTGTTTTGGCCGATTGATTTAAGTAGAATTTTTATTCCCCCCCCACCCGCCCTCAAAATAGTCGCTGGACTGTGTAGAAATACGAGTGACGCAGATATCGCACAGGTAAAGGTGCAACCGTTTGCTCACAGTACTGTTGGAGGATGAGCTCAATGGAGCCCTCCGAGGGGGTATTGGACAAACTCGTCCATCACGCCATTCCTAAATCTCTCCGCCTCCGCCCACCCAGCTATGTTATTGTGGTGCGGGTAACGTGTGGCTACTCCCGCCTCTTCCAAGAAGTCTGGCCGGCGTGAAAGAGTAGGCCAATACCCTATAATGCCCTCTAGTAGGGGCTCTTTAGAGCTCCATTTAGTAGAAGGCCCTTCCATCAGTAGTGGCGTTGAGTAGGTCAATGCAGGGGCCACACCTTTGCCTTCAACACACATTGTAGAGGCCCCACATGTTTAAGAAGTACGTGCCCATGAGCAATGCTCTTCCCCCCAGGCCACAGTGCGCATGGTGAGGTCTCTCAATGGGGGTCCTCACCGCTGATTGTCATGGCTAGCAGCTGCTTGTCACGTTTCCCTTCCCCCCCACCCGCCCCCCAATCGGGGGATTTTCAAGTTTCTTCTTTCGTCATTGTCATCATCATCTGAGACGATGGATTATTCGTGCTGATGCCCCCCCCCCGCACCCCCCCCACTCCCCCGCAGTTGAGCGTGCGTCGCCTGCCCGCTCGCCAGAGCCCTGGGAGAGCTGGGGGTTTTTGTGTGTGGGGAAAAATTTTCACGCATTTGCGTCGACCTTTCGTAGTGTGTGGAGCGCAGCGTCTCGGTCCTTCCCTTTGGGACGAAGAGGAATCCTCCAGAGAGCCCTTGGCTATGCCGGGAGTCCCTCAGTCGTTTGGCTGGCAGACAGAGTCCGTTGATTTTCACGATCACTTAAACCTGGATTCATCAAGTTGATGTGGTGAAATGTCTTTTGTTGGCTTGTTCTTTTATTCAAGGAATCCGGTCGGGCAGCAATGCGGTAGAACATTTTAATTAATACAGAACTTTTATATAGTTTACTGTATTATACCAGGTCAGGCCCACTGAGCTACATAGCTCTTTTTCTGCAGTGACCTCGCCACATGATAGCTTAATGAAGTGGGTTATCCCATGGAAATGTATAGCAGCCGCATGCTCTCAACGTATTATTATTATTTTAAATATGGAGGGGATAACAGGAGAAGCCAGGAAAAAATCTATTTGACCACGGGAAGAGAGAGAAAGACGCAAACCCCGAATATACAGGCATCAGGGTCTGGGTTGAACCCATGACCTCCTGCATACCAGGCAAGGGAATTAACATCTGGCTACTGTGGCACCCTCCTGATTATGGGGGGGGGGGGGGGTTAACGAGCGAGGTTCACAACAACCGTTGTAGTAGCAATTGAAAAATGACGAGGAGGCGCGATTGACCGCCGACGTTTGCGTTGTTTGGTCCGGCAGCTCCACCCCGGTTCCGGGACACTCCACCGCCCTACATGGAGGTGCGCCAGGGTTCAGAGGTGACGCTGGCGTGCAGCGCCTACGGGCGCCCCGAGCCCATCGTGGGCTGGCGCAAGGACGGCCGCCGCCTGCCCAATGGCGCCAAGTACCAGGTGCGGGTACCGCGCACCATAACCGCCACCACCACCGCCCAGTAGCAGCAGCAGCAACTTCCCCCCAACGCAACTGGTCAGTGATTCGTCTAAGCCTGAATTGTTTTGTGAGTTTTATGGATAGGCATGCCGTGCAATCTAGTGGTAGTACCTTCTGCCAATAATTCCTACACCATGCCGGCTAAGCAGCGTTGCAGAGAGTGAGGAGTGAGGAATGAAACCCTGGCCACAAGTGCCATTGAGCTGCATCATGGACCACGGCCGTACCGCGGGACGTTGCCACGTGGTGTACTTCATGGTTCATTTCTCACACCAGACTCACTTCGGTTCTGTCTCCCAGCACGACAGTTGAACCAGCGGCGTAAATTCTGCAATCCCCTCACCACTGTCCACCCAGTAGTGTAAATGGGGTGCGCTACAGCGCGCCGATTGGTGGGTTGCATGTGTAGTGAGGTAAAGTGTCGGTACTCCCACTTTCTCCACGATGTCTGGCCAGTGTTGAAGATTAGGCTCGAGGAAGTCTCTGGAGCTTCTAGTGGAGGCCCTTCAGCCAGCCCCCATCTTAGTGAGCCACTCGCCTGTCCACTGCATCATCTTAGTGAGCCACTCGCCTGTCCACTCCACCATCTTAGTGGGCTATTGGCCTGTCCACTTTACCATCTCAGTAGGCCACTGGCCTGTCCACTCCACCATCTTAGTGGGCCACTCGCCTATCCACTGCACCATCTTAGTGGGCCACTAGCCTGTCCACTCCACCATCTTAGTGGGCCACTAGCCTGTCCACTCCACCATCTCAGTGGGCCACTCGCCTGTCCACTGCACCATCTCAGTGGGCCACTCGCCTATCCACTGCACCATCTTAGTAGGCCACTGGCCTGTCCACTCCACCATCTTAGTGGGCCACTGGCCTGTCCACTCCACGATCTTAGTGGGCCACTGGCCTGTCCACTGCACCATCTTAGTGGGCCACTGGCCTGTCCACTGCACCATCTTAGTAGGCCACTGGCCTGTCCACTGCACCATCTTAGTGGGCCACTGGCCTGCCCACTGCACCATCTTAGTGGGCCACTGGCCTGTCCACTGCACCATCTCAGTGGGCCACTAGCCTGTCAACTCCACCATCTTAGTGGGCCACTGGCCTGTCCACTGCACCATCTTAGTGGGCCACTGGCCTGTCCACTCCACCATCTTAGTAGGCCACTGGCCTGTCCACTGCACCATCTTAGTGGGCCACTGGCCTGTCCACTGCACCATCTTAGTGGGCCACTAGCCTGTCCACTCCACCATCTTAGTGGGCCACTGGCCTGTCCACTCCACCATCTTAGTGGGCCACTGGCCTGTCCACTCCACCATCTCAGTAGGCCACTAGCCTGTCCACTCCACCATCTTAGTGGGCCACTCGCCTGTCCACTCCACTATCTTAGTGGGCCACTCGCCTGTCCACTGCACCATCTTAGTGGGCCACTGGCCTGTCCACTCCACCATCTCAGTGGGCCACTGGCCTGTCCACTCCACCATCTCAGTGGGCCACTGGCCTGTTCACTCCACCATCTTAGTGGGCCACTGGCCTGTCCACTGCACCATCTTAGTAGGCCACTGGCCTTTCCACTCCACCATCTCAGTGGGCCACTGGCCTGTTCACTCCACCATCTTAGTGGGCCACTGGCCTGTCCACTCCACCATCTTAGTGGGCCACTAGCCTGTCCACTCCACCATCTCAGTGGGCCACTGGCCTGTTCACTCCACCATCTTAGTGGGCCACTAGCCTGTCCACTGCACCATCTTAGTAGGCCACTGGCCTTTTCACTCCACCATCTCAGTGGGCCACTGGCCTGTCCACTCCACCATCTTAGTGGGCCACTGGCCTGTCCACTCCACCATCTCAGTGGGCCACTGGCCTGTCCACTCCACCATCTCAGTGGGCCACTGGCCTGTCCACTCCACCATCTCAGTGGGCCACTGGCCTGCCCACTGCACCATCTTAGTGGGCCACTGGCCTGTCCACTGCACCATCTCAGTGGGCCACTAGCCTGTCAACTCCACCATCTTAGTGGGCCACTGGCCTGTCCACTGCACCATCTTAGTGGGCCACTGGCCTGTCCACTCCACCATCTTAGTAGGCCACTGGCCTGTCCACTGCACCATCTTAGTGGGCCACTGGCCTGTCCACTGCACCATCTTAGTGGGCCACTAGCCTGTCCACTCCACCATCTTAGTGGGCCACTGGCCTGTCCACTCCACCATCTTAGTGGGCCACTGGCCTGTCCACTCCACCATCTCAGTAGGCCACTAGCCTGTCCACTCCACCATCTTAGTGGGCCACTCGCCTGTCCACTCCACTATCTTAGTGGGCCACTCGCCTGTCCACTGCACCATCTTAGTGGGCCACTGGCCTGTCCACTCCACCATCTCAGTGGGCCACTGGCCTGTCCACTCCACCATCTCAGTGGGCCACTGGCCTGTCCACTCCACCATCTTAGTGGGCCACTGGCCTGTCCACTGCACCATCTTAGTAGGCCACTGGCCTTTCCACTCCACCATCTCAGTGGGCCACTGGCCTGTTCACTCCACCATCTTAGTGGGCCACTGGCCTGTCCACTCCACCATCTTAGTGGGCCACTAGCCTGTCCACTCCACCATCTCAGTGGGCCACTGGCCTGTTCACTCCACCATCTTAGTGGGCCACTAGCCTGTCCACTGCACCATCTTAGTAGGCCACTGGCCTTTTCACTCCACCATCTCAGTGGGCCACTGGCCTGTCCACTCCACCATCTTAGTGGGCCACTGGCCTGTCCACTCCACCATCTCAGTGGGCCACTGGCCTGTCCACTCCACCATCTCAGTGGGCCACTGGCCTGTCCACTCCACCATCTCAGTGGGCCACTAGCCTGTCCACTCCACCATCTCAGTGGGCCACTGGCCTGTTCACTCCACCATCTTAGTGGGCCACTAGCCTGTCCACTCCACCATCTTAGTGGGCCACTAGCCTGTCCACTCCACCATCTTAGTGGACCACTGGCCTGTCCACTCCACCATCTTAGTGGGCCACTGGCCTGTCCACTGCACCATCTTAGTGGGCCACTGGCCTGTCCACTGCACCATCTTAGTGGGCCACTGGCCTGTCCACTGCACCATCTTAGTGGGCCACTAGCCTGTCCACTCCACCATCTTAGTGGACCACTGGCCTGTCCACTCCACCATCTTAGTGGGCCACTGGCCTGTCCACTGCACCATCTTAGTGGGCCACTGGCCTGTCCACTCCACCATCTTAGTGGGCCACTAGCCTGTCCACTCCACCATCTTAGTGGACCACTGGCCTGTCCACTCCACCATCTTAGTGGGCCACTGGCCTGTCCACTGCACCATCTTAGTGGGCCACTGGCCTGTCCACTGCACCATCTTAGTGGGCCACTGGCCTGTCCACTCCACCATCTCAGTAGGCCACTGGCTTGTCCACTCCACCATCTTAATGGGCCACTGGCCTGTCCACTCCACCTTCTTAGTGGGCCACTAGCCTGTCCACTCCACCATCTTAGTGGGCCACTGGCCTGTCCACTGCACCATCTTAGTGGGTCACTGGCCTGTCTACTTCACCATCTTAGTAGGCCACTGGCCTGTCCACTCCACCATCTTAGTGGGCCACTGGCCTGTCCACTCCACCATCTCAGTAGGCCACTAGCCTGTCCACTCCACCATCTTAGTGGGCCACTCGCCTGTCCACTCCACCATCTTAGTGGGCCACTCGCCTGTCCACTGCACCATCTTAGTGGGCCACTGGCCTGTCCACTCCACCATCTCAGTGGGCCACTGGCCTGTCCACTCCACCATCTTAGTGGGCCACTGGCCTGTCCACTCCACCATCTCAGTGAGCCACTGGCCTGTCCACTCCACCATCTTAGTGGGCCACTCGCCTGTCCACTGCACCATCTTAGTGGGCCACTGGCCTGTCCACTGCACCATCTTAGTGGGCCACTCGCCTGTCCACTGCACCATCTTAGTAGGCCACTGGCCTGTCCACTCCACCATCTTAGTGGGCCACTGGCCTGTCCACTGCACCATCTCAGTGGGCCACTGGCCTGTCCACTCCACCATCTTAGTGGGCTATTGGCCTGTCCACTGCACCATCTCAGTAGGCCACTGACCTGTCCACTGCACCATCTTAGTGGGCCACTAGCCTGTCCACTGCACCATCTTAGTAGGCCACTGGCCTGTCCACTCCACCATCTTAGTGGGCCACTGGCCTGTCCACTCCACCATCTCAGTGGGCCACTGGCCTGTCCACTGCACCATTTCAGTAGGCCACTGGCCTGTCCACTGCACCATCTTAGTGGGCCACTAGCCTGTCCACTGCACCATCTTAGTGGGCCACTCGCCTGTCCACTGCACCATCTTAGTGGGCCACTGGCCTGTCCACTCCACCATCTTAGTGGGCCACTGGCCTTTCCACTCCACCATCTCACTGGGCCACTGGCCTGTCCACTGCACCATCTTAGTGGGCCACTGGCCTGTCCACTCCACCATCTTAGTGGGCCACTGGCCTGTCCACTGCACCATATTAGTAGGCCACTGGCCTTTCCACTCCACCATCTCACTGGGCCACTAGCCTGTCCACTGCATCATCTTAGTGGGCCACTGGCCTGTCCACTCCACCATCTTAGTGGGCCACTAGCCTGTCCACTCCACCATCTTAGTGGGCCACTGGCCTGTCCACTCCACCATCTTAGTGGGCCACTGGCCTGTCCACTCCACCATCTTAGTGGGCCACTGGCCTGTCCACTCCACCATCTTAGTGGGCCACTAGCCTATCCACTCCACCATCTTAGTGGGCCACTAGCCTGTCAACTCCACCATCTTAGTGGGCCACTAGCCTGTCCACTCCACCATCTTAGTGGACCACTAGCCTGTCAACTCCACCATCTTAGTGGGCCACTGGCCTGTCCACTCCACCATCGTAGTGGGCCACTGGCCTGTCCACTCCACCATCTCAGTGGGCCACTGGC